TGAACAACAAAACGATGACATCGGGAGCCCGCGATCGCGGTCTAATATTCGATTGTCAACTCCCGCGCCCCAGACGTCAGCGCGCACCCCCTTCGCCATATCACCAGTGACATGCGCGGTTCCCTTCCAACGAAACACCAGTTTTGAATACACTTGCTTTTCCAATTTTGTCAAGACACTTCAAGCTTCAAGATCCACAACTCACGCGCCAAGTCATCCATACAATGACCACTATCGATGCAGACGACATCCTCGAGAAGCTGGAGGCGCTTGAGCGCAACAGCGAAATCTCAATCATCAAGCTGAGCGAGCCGATCTCGAGCGCCTACTCTCAAGATGCACGACCAAGAACGTCCGATGCATCCAACGCCTCCCTGGACGCACCGACGCCGGCCAGCCTCGACGCGGACCTCCAACATTACAAAGAGCTCTTCTCCAAATTACGATTCTCCTACGTTGAGCAGGTCACCAAAGAAAAGTTCATTCGCGCCATCGTTGGAGACCCGCCTCATATTGTAACGCCGCAGGAAAACCTGGAGTTGGAGAAACAGAATTTGGCGGCTAAGACGCAGCTCAAGGCCCTCAAGATTGAGGTTGCTGACATGGTGGCCGAGTTGGAGAAAAGAGGCCGTGATTTGAGCCAACGATACGACACTGTTCGGGTCGAGAAAGTAAAGCTGCAGGAACTTCCTGGTCAAATTGAGGGGCTAGAGAGTCGGATCGCAGAACTGAAGGAGACGCAACAGCCCGGCACGAACCCGTACATCAATCTGCCACTCGCCAAGACGCTTGAACTGCTGGATGACAAGCGGCGTCGGCAGAAGGAGCTGGATCGTGAACTTGAGCAGCTTCAGTCCAAGGTACCGAGGAAGAGGAAAGAGGTGGAAAGGTTAGAAGCTGAGTTGCAACCTCTAGAAGTCAAGAAGCAGACCAGCACCACCGCTGCGAAGGATGCAAAGCGGCGAAAAGAGGCCGCACTGGGCGGTGTGGAGGATGACTTGGAGGAGCGTGGCCGATGGCTGAGGGCCACCGAAGCGGCCCTCACCAATATGCTCGAGTTGAAATGATGAACTGTGGGGAACGACGAGCTGCACGATTGTACGACTATGTTTATGACTTTGGGGGCGCTCTCAGGGGAGTCAAGGCGTATGGAATCTATGAAATGGGTGGCATCAGGCTGGGAGGTCTACATGGGTTTGACTCGGGATTTGCAAGTGACCTCCCTCAAGTTGGCAATACACTCCTGCTTTGACCCCTGCGACAAGTAATTGGTCCGTGCTCAGCTAGCTCTCGGTATATGTCCGGCTAAACTTCCGCCGATCACTCCAATGCTGCAAGAGAAGCGCGGCCCCCACACCGGCCTCCCCACGTGACTCAAAAGCCCCGCCGAATTGTGCGCCCTCGCTTACCCTAGCCCTCGAAATTTCATGCTGCGCTCGATTTTGAGACTGAACATCAATCGTCAAGCAACCACCTTCACCGTCGACATCTCAACACCGCCAAGATGAGTACGTACGCCCGAGACGCTGTACGAGCAGCAGCACGCAGATATTCCATAACGATTCTGCGATTGACTGAACCGCTGGCTGACTTTTCCCGTAGCGAAGGGTACTTCCTCGTTCGGTAAGAGGCACAACAAGACGCACGTTCTGTGCCGTCGTTGCGGTACGTTTATCCTTCTCGACCCGACTCCGGATATCGACGCCACAAACACCGATCACGACGACGGAGACTGGACGATTTCTGGGGAAAGAGTCAAATCGATTGGGACTGTGCGGAAGACTGATGATGGGATTTAGGCCGCCGCTCCCTCCACGTCCAGAAGCACACTTGCGCCTCGTGCGGTTACCCCTCGGCCAAGACTCGCAAGTGTACGTTCCCCACGATTGTCGACGCGAACCGCTACTCAGCGGAGGCCCCGATGCCCACGAAGAATTGATAACTGACTGGAGGAAACAGACAACTGGTCTGAGAAGGCCAAGCGGAGAAAGACCACCGGCACCGGCCGCATGCGCTCGCTCGCCGACGTTTCCCGACGATTCAAGAACGGCTTCCAGACCGGTGGCCCCAAGGGTGCTCGCGGTGCCGCCAACCCCAACCCTTCCAAGGAATAAATTCGTCTTGTTTGGTACGCAGAGGACGACGGAAAAGAAAACCCCGGGGGGTCGACCTTGAAGGGGAACTCTTGGGGCAATGCATGCATAGGGACGGTCTAAGGGGTGTTAAAGCGTGAACGAAACGCCGGAACTCGAGGTCACTGGGCTGGACGGATTCCGACAGGCTTTGCTTTAGGGATATGGACTCCAGCAAGGTCGCAATCACAATGCCATTCTGACGCTTGCGCTGTCGATGAGTCGTGCGGGCGGTTTATGAGGAAGAGGGGTCAACTGACCGCCGCATGCACACTTTCAATCTGTCGTTCGAGGAGTGATTTCATCTCCTCGGCGTTATTGAACTGGCCATCCGTGACGCGAGTTCAGACGAGCTCCTCGCCAGATACCAAACCCAGAGGATCTCCAAGTTCTTTCTGTCCCACCACAGCCTGTGACGTGTATTTTGAGAGACAATATTTTGGGAGACAAGGTTTGTTCTGTGATGTTTCAATCTGCATCATTGATCGAATTTTGCCTATTTCAGTACCTGGGGTATCATGATATTCCACCACAAACTCCGGCTGATCTCCCTTCATTGGCCTCTGTGGAAGACTTTGACGCTCCCGTCCCCTCCCACAAAGTAAAGGAATTCCGCCTCTTCAACCTCCCGATCTACGCCGTCATCTCCCCCACCGCCCGTGATCCTCATAACGCCGCTCACGTCACTCGCGCCTCCGGTGTCCAGCAATCTCAAGCTCACCACGATTTCAGCCGTGTGCGCAAGCGCCAGCACGAACCCGGCATGCCCCCTCTCCAGTCCTGTCCCCTGCGCAGCGATGAGCGGTTCGTCCGCCGCTACGGCCATGACTGACGCATGTACCTTCTCCTGAACGTCCAGAAGCACACCACGTAGCGCAAGCCCCGTCACGGCATCAGGCCCCTCCGTGATGTCCGCCGTTGCAGCAAGAAGCAGGTCCGGCTGGTCGATGATGACTATAGTCTTCGCAGGGTTGGCGCCGCGGCCTCCCGCTACATCGGCCACGGCACCCAGCAGCTCGTTGCGCAGGTCTGAGAGTTTGGGGCTGCGGAGGGTGCGGAAGCCCTTGCGGGCGGCTTCTACTGGGAGCGGTGTGAAAAGATTTGTGAGACCGTCGACGAAGGCGAAACGACCGGCGCGAGCCAAAGACTCAAGGTCCAAGCCCTAGAGCACTGTCAGTGAATGCAGTTACCAAGATAGTTCTGGGAAGGTGAGATGAAGACTGACTAGCTTGCCTGCGCCGTCTTTCCAAAATGTGAAGTCTCGCATGAAGCTGACGAGCACGACATTGGTCTCGCCTGTCTCTTCGGCTGATTCTTGAGGCTGGGCTGTCTTCTTTTGCAGGTGGGAGTAAAGGTAGCGCAGAATGAGCCAGTTCGTGCTAGCGCCCAAGACGTTCGTGAGGAGTATACTGCTATGTTCTGGCGGGAGGGCCAGGTAGGGCTCGAGAAGATGAGGGATACGCGTCGCCATGGTCACTTCCCGTGTTCTGTAAGAAACACAGCAATGTACAAGGTTCTTGAGGGAGTCCTTGCTGCCTTGGTTGTTGGCACTTTGTAGCCTCTTCACACCTCAGATGGATGTCGTCGACAGTTGGAGCTCAAGTTTTCGACCCCAACGAAGTGAAAAGACGCTGGTGTACCACACAGCAAGCCTGTGGGGCAATGGTTGTCCCGTCGAAAAAGGGCCAAACGATCTCGTCCATGTCGACTCCGGTGCTCTTTGCCAGGACAAAAAGCCCCCAAGCGCAAATTGAAATACGCCCGTCATCAATTTTCTTGTCTGAAGCGACTACATTCAAGCATGATGTGAGTAGCAGTTGTGCGTTGCTGTTTCGTGGCATGTAGGAATCAAAGGCGCCCAACCCATGAGGATCCTACCCTTCCATTTGATGGCAATCGAGAGGCGAAAGGCACTCGAATTCATCCTCACACAGAAAGCACTCGGTGAATCTATATCTGGAACATGAGAGATAGCTTTATCTTTGGCAGTCCATGTCATTTTGGGCGCAGCCGACACAAACATAAACACAAAGTCCCAGCCTGCACGGCTTCTCAGCGGACTACCCTGATTAGCGGATAAATCTAAGCGCACCACACAGGCGCAAGGAACGGCCAATTAGGTGCCCTGGTGTTCGGCCAAACAGGGAATTCAGGAGATCCGTGGGGGGGGGGGGGGAGTGTTACTGATGTTACTGGAAAAACCCCCCCAAAAAAAGCCGGGATGTCCGACCGGAGGAACGCACCACAGCACTACACACCAGTGAGTGGTACTGCTGGAAGCGGGATCGGACGACCAGGGCGGACGGCCCGCAGCCAGGGCCAAGATCCACGGGAAAACAGGGCGGTCGACGCGCGAAGATGCCGAGAGCGAGGCTCGGCTCACATGGAGAGGCGACGGAGTTGCTGTTTCGTTCCAGCTGGCCCTGTTCGCAGGGCCACAGCAAATTCACGCACCGTCGACAGCAGCGGGCTCGGGCGATTCTCGAGACGGCATCGGCATCAAGCACGCCTCGCGCGCGCGTCCATGTGTACCCAAACTTTGAAGCGATGTGCTGTCTGCTGCAGGGGCGGCTGACTGGCCGCCGTTCCGATCACGCAACAAGATAGTTTGCCTTGCAGAGGAGGAGGGAGGGGGAGGAAACATGCTGCGTCTGTTCCGCGCCTGCGACTCTGCTCTGTTCTGTGCTGCCCTGTTCTCGCGGCTGCATCTCCGTCCGTTCTGCGCGACTAAATCCGAGCTCCGTTGTCCTCTATCTCTGCACCCCGCAGTGAGCTCTCCCCATCCCTCAGGTCAGTCTGTTGGCCGAGTGAGATAGACTGCACTCTTTTATTCCCGTTTCTCTCCCTCCCAGCACATGAGCATTCCATATCACACATGCACACACGGGGAAAGTTTGAGGGTGTCACGATATCCAGGTAGGCAACAAGACACACGTCCATCGGAGGTTCCCTTGGTGAGGCGAACTACGTGGGGTCGATCGTGCCTGCCCCCCCTGCACCAGCGTGGTGACGCAGCATTGGGTGAGGAGGGGGGGACAGTTGAGCTCAACCCCGCAGTGGTTGCTGCCCGCAGCATTCTTCCACCGAAGTCTTGCCCCGGAGTATACGGGGGGGAGGAGACTCTGTCGCTAATTTGATTTCTCAACCTCACACCCGCAAGCTGATCACTCTTGTGACGCCAGATTTCTCTTAGAAAGACGAACGGCTTCAACTTGGAAGGACTTCTTCACCCCCTTCGTCCGGCCACCTCTACGCTCCTTCGACACACCCAACAGAGCAATATGATGTGGTCTCCCACTGCTGCCTCGGCTCCCACGGCGCGCCCCACCAGCCCTGAGCAGCCCGCCTCGTTCAGCGTGTCGCGACAGAAGAACCGGGGCCGCCGCATTGCCCAGATTGTCAAGCTCAAGCCTGAGTTCCTCGAGGAATACAAAAAGGTGCACGCTCATGTGTGGCCCGAGGTTCTCAAACAGATCAAGCAGTGCAACATTGAAGACTGTACGTTTGTTTCTTTCCTACTCAATCTGCCTCTGTCGTGTCCTTCCATTGTACTCTCCAATCTTCCTCTGCCCCATCCAGGTTCGGACAAATTGGAACCGACGCTAACACCACGATAGACAGCATCTTCTACGATGAGAGTTCCGGCATCCTCTTTGCGTCCATGAAGTACGTGGGATACGACTATGCCGGAGACATGGAGCGCATGAGGGAAAACCCCAAGGTCCGCGAGTGGTGGGACATGACCGATGGCTGGCAGGAGTCGCTGGTCGAAGGCGCCACCAAGAGTAACGTCGAGCCGGGCGAGCCGGGCTGGTGGAAGCCCGTCGAGGAGGTCTTTCATCTGCCATAGAGAGCGTTCCACGTAACCCTTTATTCATCTTCATTTCCAGTTGCCAAATAGACCTCCAAAGGGGCCCTTGCCATCCTGACCGCCGCCTCCACTTCCGCCACCACGTCCGCCGTGTCGACGGGCCTCATTTCGAATCCAGTCCTCGAGGAATTGGCGGTCGGCCATTTTCCTGGCGTCTTGGACCTTGGTCTGCACCTGCGCCTCTTGAGCGTCAAAGCAGAGGAGCGTCGGCACCGACGTGATCATGTAGGTCATGCCGAAGCCCGCGCTCATGATGTCGGGCGAGTCGTACTCGACGGTGCAAAAAGCGACGCCGCCCTCAGCCTCGCCAACACCGGACTCGACAAGCGATTGCAGAAGGGGAGCAACGACGCGACATGTTGAGCACCAAGATGTGGTCCACAGCGTTAGGAGGGGCGTTCTCGACGACGATGAGATCTGCTGATATGTGTAGAAATCATCTGGCTTACGGACGCTGAGCAAAGTGTTGGCAAACATCGCACAGCAAAGTGTTTTTGTCCCGGCCAGCTGGCCAATGACCAGTGACCTGAGCAAGTCAACTTACGAGGTGTATATCTGATTCTTAAGCTTGCGGTTCTGCGACGTCGAGAAGGGCGCCACGGCGGCTGAAAGGGAGATTGGGATGAGTGGCGTGCTGACAGGTCGGCCGGGGAGTTTGACGAGGGAGGAGAGGCTAGGAGCAATTCGACAGGCTCGCGGCGCAGTCAGGTGGATGAGGTGTCTCGCGTGCATGACGTCGATGAGGGTGGGAGGGTGGTGTGTCGTGTGGGTGTGTGTAGCCGCGTAAAGAGATGCGATTGAATATTGGGGAGCGTCCTCGTTGCCAGGAGCGGGCTTTGGAACCTATCGATATGGTGGACGAGATGCAGCAATCAATCACTTGGTTCGACAGTCTAGTGGATGTGTTGCACAGCGGCCGCCTGCAACGATGGAGCAAGCAGGAACGTACCCTATGGTACATGGAGGATGAAGGGAGATTGGGCGCGGGATAGCGCGGCTGAGAGAGTTCCTGCCTCAGCGCGCGGACACCTTGCACACTCAGGCTGTCACTCAAGTCACTGCACCTGTGCGGCGCGTTGTGACAGTGAGCGTCACACGGAAATATGGGGAAAAGACCCCTAACCGACCTAGGGACTAAGGTGCTGTTGCGTCATCACGCAGGGCACTTTGCACCTTGAATTCTGTGGCATCGCATATCAGAAGCAAAACCAACACCACAATGAGCATCAGCTTCCAATGAGTGGCTTGAGCCACATCTTGTGACCGCTGCTACTTCCCCACGTTCCACGTTTCCCGCGCATGAGACGCGTTGCAGACGCATCGTCGACCGTCCCATGCTGCCTACGACTCATGGAGAAGGGAGACAAAGCCAGATTTCGTAGGCTCCCAAGCGCTTGGCTTCAGCACCGCTTCCCTGGCCCACTCACCGCTGTAGCTTAAGTGGAGGGACTGATGGCACCCGACCGATCACCCTGCCCTAGCGCTGTTGCTTCATGCTCAACTCGTGTCATGGGAAGTGGCAGTCCCCTGCCAGATGTCGGTCAGCCTGAGGTCGATCTCCGTGACAGAGGCAGCCGAAGCCGAGACAGGCAGGAACACACCAACAATGGCCTGTTCTCCAAAGCTCCAGAGCTTGGGAAAGAATATGTGACGGACGGACGGGCTTGTCGACATCGTTTACCCCTACAAATACCCTCGAGATACCCGCCTCATGCAACGCGCCGACCAAGGTAGGCAGACCGACCGACCACCTCGAGTCATACCCGCCTGGAGCGTCCGCCAACACACCCGGATAGTCTCTGACTGCCAGCCTTGACCTCCAGTCAGCCTCGCACCACCACCTCTCCACCTCATGTCTCTCCAACTTAGCTTTTCATCTTAACCTCGACCGCCTCTTATTGATCAATCCTAGACATTGGTTCGCAAATCTTTAACTCCTTGCTCCAGATAGCGTTACTCCCTTCGTCCTACACAACCTCGGCGTTCCATGACCACACACCCACCTCTCATCACGTCGCCCCTAGAAACCATTCAGCTGGCATTGCATTCATCACATATGCTTGTTCCTTCGTCGTAACTCGTCACAGCCTATCATAATACCAAGAAAATACAGATCATACGCCCTGTCTATTCCTCTGGGCCTCGCAAAGAGCTATGGCTGCTGAATCGTCAGCAAAACCGCGTTGGGGGCGATGGTTCGGGCGCGAGTCCAACGCTGCCCAGGCCCCCGAATCACAAGAGAAGCCAGGTCCTCCGAGATGGAGTATGGGTGTTCTCAATGACCCTCACACAGTTCAGGTTCCTGGTACGTGGGTTCTCTGTCAATCTTTCCCCATCACCTGCTGATCGCACTGCAAACATCAGGTTCTGTCCTTCTGCTTGCCAGTAACAGGAACGAACCCCTCGGCCTGCGTAATGCGCCTGCACGCACCTCTCATTCCTCCATCCCGACCGGGTTCTTCGATCCAGGTCCATCGCCACCGGCCACTGCCCGCCGCTCTTCCTCGCATGGCCCGCCCGCCGATGAGAAGAAGAAGACCAAAGACGGCAAAATCATTCTAGAGCCCCAGCCAGAGGACTCGGCGAACGACCCGCTGAATTGGCCTGCTTGGCGTCGCGACACTGCCCTCTTTTCTCTAGGTTTCTACTGCCTGGTCGGCGGAGGAATCACGCCGCTGCTGGCCGCTGGGTTTTACGATGTTGCCGACGACTACGGAGTCAGCGTCGAACATGTGTCGTTGACAACCGGCTTGTACATGATGGGCATGGGCCTCGGATCCGTTGTCGCATCCCCTACCGCCATCTTGTGGGGAAAACGTCCGGTCTACCTCGCGGGCGCCATTCTGCTGGCCATATCTTCCGTCTGGTGTGCTCTTTCGCCTAACTTTGCTTCCCTCATCGTGGCCAGAATCGTTCAAGGCATAGCCGTCAGCCCTGTAGAGTGTCTGCCTTCGGCCACCATTGCCGAGATCTTCTTCCTGCACGAGAGAGCGTATCGCATCGGCATATACACCTTGCTTCTGCTAGGTGGCAAAAATCTAGTCCCGCTGGTGAGCGCTGTGATCATCCAGGCTCTGAATTGGCGATGGGTATTCTGGTAGGCAGCATCCCCCACTCCTTGGTGCCACCAGCATGAAGTATCCGGGTTGAGTGGATTTTTGGACGTCAAGACTGATGACAAGTGATATAGGGTCGTAGCTATTATTGTCGCCGTCTGGTTCTTTGCCCTCTTTCTATTCGTGCCAGAGACATTTTGGGACAGAACACCTCACCCAAAGTCCAGGAAACCATCGAGACGGCCGAGCTTCATTCGTCGTCTGTCATCACAGCGAAACGTACCTCAGCAGCCCGCACCCGTGGCAGCAGTCGACGAGACCGCGGACCCATCTAAGGGACAGACTGATGACGTCCCTGCAACACCCTCCGTCGCAACACCCTCTGGACAACAACACAAAAGCCTCCACGTTGGGTTTGCTCCTAATGAACCTACCGAGCAAGTGGGCGAGACAAGCGTCAGCACCAGCATGGCTCCGGATGCAACAGCTCTTGAACAAGCTCGTCCAGAAGATGATAATGAAAGACCAACCTCTGCCCGCACGGCCACGCCCACTACCGGGAACACCGCCTTTGACGCTCAGCGAGCAGATTCACCTCACCACGGCTCCACCTCGGGCTCCGATTACTTTGCCAGAGGACCTGGAATGGAGAGCGAAATGTTCCCGACAGACTCGAGAGGTCCGCCGAAATCGACTGCGTATACCCACACACTGCGACACCAACCCGCAAGGTCTTTTACCGAGCAGCTCAACCCATGGAATGGCCGTCTCAATCACGACAAATGGCTGAAGGTCATGGTTCGGCCTTTTATCCTCTTTGCGTATCCCTCTGTTCTCTGGTCTACAGTCATCTACTCTTGCTCTGTGGGGTGGCTCATCGTCATCTCGGAAACGATGAGCGTGATCTATCGGAATTCGGACTCGTACAACTTCACCGCCCTTCAGACTGGGCTCGTGTACATCTCGCCGTTTGTTGGTGGCATCTTGGGCACCGTTGTAGCCGGTAAAGTAAGCGATATCATCGTTAGGGCGCTGGCACGTCGCAACGGGGGCCTTTACGAGCCCGAATTCCGCCTCATCATGGCAATTCCTATCCTCCTCAGCACCGTCATAGGGTTGATGGGGTTTGGATGGTCAGCAGAAGAACGCGATCACTGGATGGTGCCCACGTTCTTCTTTGGCGTCATATCATTCGGATGTACCATGGGTTCCACCACGTCCATCACATATTGCGTTGACAGCTACCGACAGTATGCCGGCGAGGCTCTGGTCACGCTCAATTTTAGCAAGAACATCCTACACGGACTTGTCTTTAGTTTGTTCGTCACTCACTGGATGGCATCTGACGGGCCGAAAACTATGTTCATCTGGCTCGGCGTCATTCAGCTAATTTTCTGTCTGTTCTCGATCCCCATGTACATCTTTGGCAAACGTGCCCGTATGTGGACTGTGCGGAAGAACTTTATGGAGAAGTTTTAGACGGAGCCTTGTTGCATTGGGAGGCCAGCGTGTTGGGAACGTGGCCAAGAAGCATGGAGACTCCTTTTCAAGCATTTCCGGCGTTACGGGGTTTGATTTCTTTTGGCGTTGCGCCAGCATCAGCATTATACATTGGACGATTCCGGGAGTTCATACACACACCAGTGTCAAGGGGCGCAGACGACAGTATACAGCATACCATACCAACCACCATACCTAAACTAGAGTGCCATCTTGCGCATACATGTCGCAGATGGTTTCATGAATAACTTACACGCCATAAACGTTCTACCGCGGGTACGTGTGACTAACTTCCAGCGATGCCATGCCATTTGGTTGGGTTTACTAGTCAGTTCTGTAATCACTTGGTCAAAGACACTCGCCATGTTCTCGGAAGTCGTTGTCATGTCGTCTCTTGTCTACCCAGTCCAGCCATTGAAATATACACAAGGCCTAGATACCTGTAACCCGAAAAACTCCGCCAACCCGGCGGTTCCCCCCATCATTTACACATGGGGTTGGAAAGCCATGGGGAAATCGCACCCGCATATATTACAAGCCACGCAGCCCTCGCCTGCTGTCATCCCGTCCCTTCCATCCATGGGTAACCCACCAGTGCCCTTGCTCTGCACACCGACGACCCCGTCCTTTACTAGCCAGACCCCCTTGCGCCGCCCCCACTGCCCCTCCGCGCGCCGCCCCCTCGCGTTCTGATCTCGTCTCGCTGAGAGAGAAGGTCGAAAAGAAGCATATGGATGACCAGCATGCATGTACGTGTTGTTGTGTAATGCATTAGAAGAAAGAAAAAAAGAAGTTTCTCGTGGTTAGCGAGGTGGGAAACGGGGGAACGAAAACGAGCGCGTGTTGGCCGAGTTCTGCGACTCGTCCGACGTCTGAATCGACACCTCGATGAAGGTGGGCGCAAAGGGAGGGGGATGGGATTTCAACGGTTATGAAACGCGTCATGGTGGAAAGGCAACGCTTTTTTGCCCTTTTTTCTTTTCTTCTTCTTTTTCAATAAAAAAACTCCTTGTCTGGACGGCCGTGAAGAGGGGTGTTCGCTGAGCCGTATGCGATGTACCTGTACCCGAAACGACTATGCGTAGAGGGCTTCGATGAAGTAGATGAAGCCGAAGAGGAGGAAGGCGAGGGCGCCACCGATGGTTACTAGAAGGAATCAGCGTTCGTCGCAGCAGAGAAAGGGGGACAGCGTGGCTCCTTAATGGTTTTACTTACCAACTTTCAAGCTGACTTTCCCCGCGATGGCGCGACCGCCGATGACTGCCACGCCGGTGCAGACGCAGTGTCCCGTCATGGCACCGAGCGTGACCCACCAGTAGTCCTGTCCAGCGGCCATGGCAATGGTCGCGATCTGAGAGCGGTCACCCCACTCGCCGAGGAAGGTCATGACAAAAGTCTGCACCCAGGCCGGGCTCAGGAGCAGGGAAGACAGGTTGCCAAGCCCCTGGAAGAAGCTGGCCGCCGAGGCGTAGCGGCCGCCCGAGCGGCTGCGGGATCGGCTGGAGGAGGGAGAGCGTGGCGGGGAGGGGAAGCGGCTCTTGGAGCGCGACTTGCGGTGGTCGCCGTCGCCGAGGCCCATCTCGAGGGCGTAGGGAGAGACGGCGTGGGAGTTGCCGCGCCGGCGGCCGGCGGCGGCACTCTCCTTTTCCTTCTCAGCGAGCTCGCGCTCGACTTCGTGAAGCTCTTCAGTGACGCCCTCGTTGGGGTCCATGGCCATGCCTTCGCGGAGCAGCTTGGCGCCAAAGACGAAGAACAGACCGGCGGCGGCGAACGAGGTCAGGCGCTTGGGAATGAGGGTCGGGACGGCGTGACCGAGAACGGCGGAGAGAACAGTCATAACGAGCAGAGCGCCGAATGCGGCAGAGAAGACAACGAGGCGATCGTGCTTCATAGCCATCAGGGCGGCCACGAGGAAGGTCTTGTCGCCCACCTCGGAGACAAGAATCATGGTGAGAGAGAGGACGAAGGAGTGGAAGGGCTGGATGATGCCTTCATCCTCCTCCTCCAGCGCGCTCGAATCCTTGGGGTGCGACTTGGAGACATCGAGGTGGTCTTTGTTGGCGGAGTCGGGAACGGGAGGAGGAATGTCGTCTAGCGACTTGGGAAGGTCTGCCGGTTTCTGCAAGGAGAAGAAAGGTTAGCACCCCATCAGGGGGAATTTGCCATGACAGAAGTTTGGTGACGAAGGGTGAAGGGGAGTACTCACGCCCAGGCCAGCTACCTCATTAGCCGTGCCGTGTTCGTGCTCATGCTCAGGGCGGTCCTGGTCGCTGGGCGAGGGAGTCTTGGGGGCTTCGGGGACGTTATCGCCGGCCTTGCGCGCCTTGTCCTTCTCGCTGACGCCGCCCTCGGTGCCAATGGTGCCCTCCTTTGGCTTCTGACGGTCACGGTCGTTCATGACGCCGTCGTTGGTCTCGGGAATGCGCTTGCCGTCGACAATGGTGGGATCGTCAGGCCTGCCCTCGAGGGGTGGAAGGTCCTTCACGAGGTCATCGGTGTTGTGGTTCCTGTCGACAAAGGGGCCTTGATGCGGCATGCCATCCCTGCCGTCGACGGGCGCGCCTTTGGTGCCGACATCTTGTCGCTTGCCGATCTCTGCTACTGGTATCTCTGGGGCGACTGCTCGTGGCTCGTTGTGAATCGTCTGCTCGGACGCTAGGGCTGCGACCAGGGAGGGAATGAGGAGGAGGATCAAGGACAAGGGTCGGGACCTGAGCCGCATGATGGCGGTATCTGTATTTGAAAGCAACGAAGGGGGGAGAGAAATGAAAGCAGGCGGACTGGAGCAGTGATGATATGATGCGGTGGAAAGAAAAGGAGAAAGTTGTTGAGGTGAGGCGCTCGAGTTGACGACCTGGCCTGGCCGTAATGGTGTGTTGGATGATTACAGGTACCTAGACGTGCCCCCCGAAACATTTGGCCAATAGTTCCCAACTGGGGTTAGTGGCCGCCAAGCCCAGACATCAGCCGCTCGCCGTTCTCCTGGATTGAAACCGACGAGCTCTCTTGGTGATTGGCTCCATCAGAGGTGGCTGCGGTGGCTAAGGTACGGTGGCTGCGGTGGCTACGGTGGCTTCTTGGACCTCCTTCCTGAGCTTCTTCCTGAGCTGCTTCATGAGCTGTCCCGACTTGAGCAACATACCTCTACATCTCATTGAGAGATTCCCATTTGTATTTCATTTTGTTTATTTTGCCATTTTCGTTATTGACCAATTTCCACTGAGACAGACAGATGCCATCCATTTAGTCGCATCCTGCTGAGTCCGAGCCCATAATATCAACCATGCCCTTCTTTCTCATATTCTTCACGTTAAGCAGCGAGACCACTCAAGTGTAAACAATTCATTTCATCTTTGTCAAATTTTCTCCTTCCTCTAACACTACTTTTGTGGGGGAGGCAAAGCGTCAAAACATATTTCACACCCAGCGCCTATTGCTCGCATCCATCTGCCTCGCACCAACCCGCCCTCACTTCATAACCAAAGATCCGAGCCTACTTAGACTTGTTGCCAGATGAACGACATCAGGTGCTCCCGGAAACACCAAGCACCACCGCTGCATACAAAGACACAAGTGGCACTTTAAGCCTTGGCCGTCATCTCGGAAATGTCCCGCTCGTCAAAGGGATCAACGACAGTGCTGGCAAACTTCCTGGCCGGGACCCGCTTGGCAAAGAGCACGTCGAGCTCGTGGTACGACCTGTTCCAGGTCTCGGGCAGGCGGAAGTAACTCCAGACGAAGACGCCAAAGCAGGTGCCAGCCCAGAAGAAGCCCGTGTAGCCCTTGAGGTTCCAGGCCTGGGGGTTCATGAAATACTGCTGCAGGACGCCACCAATGGTGCCCATGATGTTGGACGAGTCGCGGGCGAGGCAGATGGTCTTCTGACGGAGACGGGTGGAGCCGACCTCGGCGGGGAGCGCCCAGCCCAGCTGTCCGGCCGAGAGCTGGAAGATGAAGGTCCAGAGCATGGTGAGGCAGGCCTGCGCCATGGCGACCGATTCCTTCGAGGTCCAGACGTTGAGGATACCGATGAGGAGAAGCACAGAGCACATGCCAGCCATGCCCCAGACGTAAATGGTGCGGCGGCCGAGACGGGGCATCAGGACGAACCAGTTGATCAGGCAGCCGACAAAGGCAAGACCGGTGCCGCCGAGCGCGAGAGAGTAGGTGGTGCTGGTGCCGAGACCCATCTGTGAGAAGAAGTACGAGCTGTTGTAGGCAAACGCGATACCGCAGAGAATCTGACCGGCAAAGACGACGCAGGCAATCTCGGTGCGGCGTAGCTCGGTGCCCTTGAAACAGTCCCAGTAGCTCGTGCCGATGCGCAGCTGCTGCTCAAGGTTGTTGGTGTAGACAATCATGGACAGCGTCTTGCGCGGGTCGACGGACGTTGTGGCGGTGGATTGAAGGCGGCGCAGCGAGTCCTCGGCCTCCTCCAGCTTACCCATGCGGACGAGGTACCAGGGAGACTCGGGCGAGATGTAGAGGAGGGGGATGAGGAAGACAGGCCACACCCACTGCAGAGCGAACGGGATCCTGTAGCCCCACTGGTCCACGTGCGTCGACAGGCCCTTGAGGATGCCGGCAGAGATGAGCTGGCCGAGGATGAAGCACATATTGGTGTACGAGGTCATATATGTGCGCAGCGCAGTGGGCAGGACTTCGGAGGCGTAGGCAGGAGCGGTCGTGGCGAGAATGCCCCAGGGGACACCGCAGAGGATTTCGCCGATGACCAGGACGATGAGGTTCGGGGCGAAGAAGACGGGGAAGATGAAGAGCGACAGGGCGATGAGGGCGCCGATCTGGACGCGACGAGAGCCGTACTTGGACACGAGATAGCCGCTCAGGAGGCAGCCGAAGATGGAGCCGACGCCGGCACCTTGCGACAGACCGGCCTGCCATGCAGGGGTCAACTGGTAGCCCGTTGGACTCTGGGGAGTGACCCCAACGAATCGGCCGTACTTGATCAGGAACGATGCTGTTGAGATACTAAATTAGCGTCGTCGCGTCGTGGGGAAGCAGGTTTCCTTACGGTACGCGAAGAAGTTGGACAAGAGGTTGGTATCGTAGCCCTCCATGATCACACAGGTGGATGACACGAGCGCCCAGCCGATGGCCTTTGGATACACCCGGATGGCCTCGGCGATGGTGAGTTCGTGATCTTCAGCAGTAGCCTCGAGTGCCGCCTGGTTGAGGACCTTGTCGTCGAGGGCGGTGTTGTTGGCTGCTTCCGCCAGGACCGCGACGGTATCAGCCTTTTCCAAGGCGACGACGTTCGATTTCTGCATGATGAAGCCCGGGTCTCGGATGACGGAGCGTCTTTGTCGTATTTAAGCTTTGTTATAGAGGTGAAGAGGATGAGAGGGATGCTGGTGTAACAAGACCCGGTTTCTCGTGGGTCCTTGGGGTCCCTTATATGACTGGAAGTCTCAAGGCCGCGGTGGCCTGTCCTGAGAGTATCACAGCATCTCCAAGCCTTCACACGCCGCCCCGAATCATGGTATCCTAGCTATGGAAAAGAAGTAGACTTCGCCCAAAGGGGGTATGCTCGGGATTTGTCCCCAGTACCCCGCTGCCCAGGAAAAGGTGAGGTAAGGTTGAGAAGACACTGACACGATCTGATGGCCTCGCTTTCGAACCGATGCCCCTGCATCTCCGCAATTGAGCTGTGTCGAAGGCTAAAGCCCCAGCTGGGGTCGAGATGCCACCCCGCCAAATTCGACATCTCCCCAGGGGCAGCCGAATCAGGTGTTTGCGTTGTGTGCAGTGAAGGCACGCTATGGCGGGAAAGTTGGCGGAAAACTGGCGCCGCACATCCAACAGACCACTTTCAATTTCCCGTCTTCAACTCGGCCCAAGACATGCGAGAGTATAGGGTTTGAATACCGGTTTGACCTTACCCTAGTGCGCCATGTCGGTCCGACAGAATCTTTAATCAATCGTTTAAATGCAGAAATGTTTGAATTTCGAGCATCATGTGCACGAAATGCGACATGGCTGCTGGATGTTCATGGGAGACTTGCCTAGATGATGTATGCTCTGCCCCCCTGAGGCTGGAGGCTAGAGTTCTCCGCCATGGCAAATGGGCGCCTTTTCTTAGCCCCCGCCCTGGCGTGTCTCTCTAACTCACCACCATCGGCGGGCGACTAAGCAGTATGCAATGTTGGAACAGTTGACTTCTGGGCACCTGCCCCGACCACCACCAGAAGGCCAAAAAAAGTGCAACCTCATAGCGCAATATTGCTCGCTTGAAAATGACATCGATGTCCTGTCAGGCGGCGGAACAGATGCATAGGCTTGCGGAATATGATTGAGAGGTGCGGGTTGAGCCAGACGTCAATCAGGCGTCCAGAATGATGTAGACACGAACTTACCTCTCAGCTGCAAGCAACATATACGACAATGCCTACCTTAGTACTTGTCGCATTTGGATGAGCTGTGCTCCGGGTTGAAGGATTAAATCAAGCAGTGAGGCCAAATGAGTCCATACCGTTTCACCGATACTATATCCATCTCCAGCTCGCACTTGGCCATCCCCTCATCATGTTCGTCGTGTGTTGAAGCTTCGTCTGAGCACTATTCGTCATCCAGGACTCTGGCAGATGGAACGTCAGATACCCCAGATTATCTCCCCAACCTCGTCGGCCTGGAGAAGAGGGGAGATGGGAGCATAGCCCATGTTTGTATAATGATCATCAGATGTTCAATCGTCTCGCGACTTGGTGCTAGTACACGTGCGGCGGGGCCCACACTGTTGGTAGCGTATGCGGGGAGCATCAGTGCCGCGCAGGGATCTAACAGCTCCTCCACGTCCCTTGATCGCTGGGCTGAATACTGCGGGATATTTGTTGGAGCAGTTTTCCGACGACAAGCCGCCTGGAGCGTCGCTCGTACAAGGCGCATCTGCCATAAACCTCGCCAGAACTCCATTCGAGATTTCATCGATCGAACCCAACGTCAGGCAATTCTTGAGAGTTGAGCAAGTGAATATCTTGGCGGACTGTTTCTCGTTCCTCCTGAAGCTGATGACGGGTTGATATCGTCCGACGCATTTTGTGCCAGCCCTGAGAGGGAGCAATTACGTCCACAGGCTGGATGTCCTTGAGACATGGGTTGGTTGCACTTGGTCTTGAATTTGATGATAGTACGACGCATCAAAGAGAATTGGAGGTTGTCCTTCCAGGTCAACTCACAAAGAACAAGGCAGCATCGTGAGATCTCCAATGCGGTAGGTACAATCGGTCCTCGTTTATGAGGAGATGAAGTCGAAATACAGGTAGCAAGGTCCGTAGATGCTGCTGATTATTAAGGGACCATCTAGGTACCTTCTCTGTTCTGGTCAAGGCGGCAATAGGGGGCCGCCTTATCTTATCTCCGGCCAGTGGTTGCCCCCACCCATACTTACACCAATGCATGTCGTCACGAACCTCGGGGATGAGAGCTTCGCGACTACTGTCACAACTCACCTTGAGCTTTTCCTCCAAAAGTACCGGCTGTGTCATATCATTAGACTCCCGAATTCACATTGTCGGGGAACATAGCGTCGTGCATCAAGAGAAGCACTTCCGACGTGGCAGTGATCCGCGTTTGCCGGCTGTTCCCCCGCCTCTCTTGTTCCAGGCGCCAAATATCCCACCTCACCTTACCCTTCTTGATTGCCGAGGCACCCACTCGGGCGTCTCACAGACACGATGGACACGTCCGATCGAGACTCATCCGCACAGCCCGTTAGTAATGACCCTCAAGAACTGGACGAGGAACTGCTTTCCGACTGGTATATTCAACAACAGGAGCAAGCTGCCGAGTCATCTCTGAACTCCGACCAAGATGAATCCGAAAGTGGAGTTCACTATGAATACGTGCTCGAAGATGCAGAGGACGACGACGACGATGATGATGAGGATTATCATGGTGTGTTCCATCATCTGTCCGTCAGTGCATCTCTGCTAACTCTGTGAAAGATGCCGAAGACGGCGAAGATACAGAAACAGAACGTGAAGTGGCCGGTCTCCTCGCATCAAACGGAGACGATGATGATGGCGAGGAAAACGAAGAGGACAGCGATGACGCGGATGACGCGCTTGATGGTGTACAAGCGATTTTAGGTTCGCAATCCCTTTGGCTAACAATGGTCACCTCGGTCCTAACTCTGGGTAGATGGCGCAGGAATTGGATGGTTGTCACGAGCACAAGTTATGGCACTTCTGAGAGGCAGAAACCTTGGCAGCATTTTGGTCGAAGAAGGCGATGACGGCGAGTTTCTGAGCTTTGGGGCCAGACGTCGACGACGGGCGCCGCCCGATCCTAACCGTTTTCCCAAAGTCCCGAGCGAGAAAGGCATCGAGCTTATGCACTCGGGTGTCTTTGGAGCCACTGATGCTCGTGTTCACAAGCAGAAGCAGCTGGCCCGTCGCATCCTCGACCGAGAGCTCGGCTTCGATACCAGAGTCGACCGGCAAAAGAATCAAGACATGATGGCGCAAAACATGCTCCCATCAAACAGAGCAGAAATGATTGTCCACTACGATTCGCCTGTGTACTCGGGTCAGTTCTCCGAGGACGGCAACTTTTTCTACGCATGTGGCCATGACTTCAAAGTCCGCATGTACGACACATCGAACCCGTACAACTGGAAATACTACAAGACCGTCGAGTACCCCTTTGGCCAGTGGACGTTGACCGATGCGTCGCTGAGTCCCGACAACAAATGGCTCGCCTATACCTCGATTCATTCCAGCGTCTGTCTGGCGCCGACCGATCCCAACGATAGGGGTGATCCGTATACGCTCAACCTCGATGCCGGCAGGGGTGGCCACCGAGGATACCACAATTTCGGTATTTGGTCGGTGAGGTTTTCCGGCGACGGGAGGGAGCTCGTTGCCGGCACCAACAAATGCTCCATCATCGTCTACGACATCGAGTCCCGTACGGTGCTGCATGATGTACAGGGCCACGAGGACGATGTCAATGCCGTATGTTTTGCCGACAAGTCTTCGCCACACATCTTGTATTCCGGCTCCGACGACACCACAATCAAGGTCTGGGATCGACGAAGCATGGGCGACGGACGGCCAGCGGGCGCTTTTATCGGTCATACGGAAGGGTTGACATACATCGACAGCAAGGGCGACGGGCGCTACATTCTGAGTAACGGCAAAGACCAAACTATGAAGCTGTGGGACCTGCGCAACGTCATGTCCACCGACAGGTTCAGCGAGCTCAACCCCACGCAGCACACGGCAGGCCGAGGCTTCGACTACAGAATGGGGGTCTACAATGACGACGACTGGGAGCCCCATCCAAGCGGTGACAACTCGGTGGTCACATTCCGCGGTCACAAGGTGTTGCAGACGCTCATCCGCTGTCACTTCTCGCCGCCTTCCAGCACAAATTCACGATACGTGTACTCGGGAAGCCAGGACGGCAAGGTCTGGATCTACAACATGGACGCTACCGTGGCCAGCGTCATCGACGTCAACAAAGCCACCAGGGGTTCGAGGACGTCGCAGAGGCGGAGGGTGTTCTACTACGACGAGTCCCCTAGCTGGAGGACATGCGTGCGTGATGCGAGCTGGCACCCCAACGCGCCACTGCTGGTCGGTAAGTACTGCTGCTGCGCCCATCTCCCCTGCTCACTTGACGACGACGGGATGCTGACATTTTCCAAGCTTCGGCGTGGAATGGGGCTGGCGCCTCATTTGGCACGTGCAGTGTTCACTCGTTCAACGAGGCTGATGACGATGAGGCAGAGCCTAGGATGGGCAGAAGTGTCGATGAGCAGCTTCGAACAGATCCATCGCTCAAAGATGTATAGCCTGATGTAGACAGCAGGGAATATGATTCGAACTGGGTTGGTATTTCGATTAATGATACAAGAATGACACGTACGTGCCCTTGTACACTCAGTCAATCTGAAGTATGACTGAGAAGAATCCGGATTCGAAAGACACGTCCCCCTCAAGCTTATACCGTGCGCATCGTGAGGTCCCTAGTCCCTCAAATTCGCGGTGTCCCTCTTTGCTCGCCGAACGTGTCTTTCCATCCAGAGTCCCTCCGTAACCGCGGGTATATTTTTGGTGGGTTGGCTCGTTTGAAAATGGCAATGGAAATGATCCCTACACCCTTCCTATCGCTACCGATAGCGCTCGTGTACCATGATTTACGCACCACCGACCAGAATGTTGTTGACGGGGATGTGGATGAGCTTGACCTGCACCGACAAGTGTTAGCAAGGTGGCAGGGCGGCAGAGACCTGTGGGGAGACTTGCGATGTAACCGACAGCTCCCATGATGAGGAAACCAACACCGACGGCCTGCGCGAGCTTCTGGTACTCGGCGCGATCGGCTAACAGAGAGGGTCAGCATGTGTTGTTCACATTAGCCTGCGTTTCGCGTCGACTCACGCTTGGTGCACCTCCTCATGAACTGGACGCCATCCTGAGCGAACTCCGAGGGGACCTCAAGGAACTCCTTAACGGTATCGGCCATTGTAATTTCGACGATGGACAGAGAGGTAGAAGGGAATTAATTCGAAGTTCTGGCAGGGCGTAGAGCGATCGGGACGTGGGTATCGTGGATGGGTGTAGGAGAAGGCGATTGGGGTCGGACGGAAATGCGAGGTGTCCTAGCAATGGATAGATGTCTCTAAAAGGGTCTCCCCCCAGAAAATGGGGAACTCGACGGAACCAGCTGGTGCTTCGTGGTGAAGCCACATTGCCAAAAAACCAGGGGCGGAAGAATGCGGCCGTGCTCCGTGAGCGCCACAGATCTGGCCCAATTGACAGAGCATCAGCCACAGGACACTCCTTGGTGGAGACTTTCAGGAGGCGGGCCCATGCACCTTCAAGCCGCCCCATGTTCGACGCCTGGCCCAAACGCGACCCAAGCTCTACCCGTCTGAAGGAAGCTTCCAAGCTGCCTCAGGAAGACCAGTCCGGCTTAACGCAGTCATCCCACTGAAGCACCAGCCTTAACTCCAAGAACCGCGATCGCCTAGGGTCACCACGACGCCTTATTCACACATCTCTCGTTCAGAACTGTCGTATCGAAAGTCGGATTTATCCCACCGACGGCGTCACGGCCAGACAATAAGCCCACGCGGCCAAACCGATCTTTCCTACCGAGGTGGCCGTAAGGCAGCAACAGCGAAGGAACTTGAGATCCAGCAGGGTGTCATCGCGTGCGGGTGCGCAATAGGGCAACAGCTGCAAAGACTGTCAAGGTCTTGGGAACTCCGGCCACCTGTTTCGTTTCGTCGGCTGTTGGTTTGCCATCGGACCCTTCTTGCCTGCCTGTACTCTTTTACCTACACCCGTCGGGCTCTCGCTGCCAAGAGACCCCTCCCGTCGCCGTCACAAGAGATCGAAGTACAGAGCTTCCTCTTCGAGTTTTTATAACTCTCTACGGACGGGCTTTGGATCAACCAACCCTCCTTCCACCTTGTCCTGTCTGCAGAAAGAGGAGTGTACGTATGATTGGTCTTTCTGTCTCCTTATTTTCTCTCTTCGCGCAGCCGGGATGGTGGCCGGTGGTGGTATTTGTTTCATATCATGTCGTTTCGCAGTGTTTCTCTCCATGGCTGATCATAGATGCATAAAAGGCAACGACGGCTCCTGTACCTCAGAACCTAATAACAACCCTGATTGTTCGCTTTCATAGAGACACAGTCGCACAACACCCGCGATGGCCGACGACGAATTCGAAATCGACATTTACGGCGATGCACCCCAGGAGAACCAGGAGGGACATCATGAGTACGAGGGAGGCCAGCAGCAACAACAAGAGCATGACCACCGAGAAGACCACGATGACAGTGGACAGCATGAGCACAAGGAGGAATCCGAACAGTACAACGATCAGTCGTCGTCTGCCCCGCAACAAGGCACCAAGCGTAAGGGGGACGACAGAGCGGTAGACCCTGGCGCTACCAACGCCATTACCATCTCGGATCTGAACTGGTGGAACACGGACGACGAGATTCGCGGCTGGTCACGCCGGGCGCATTGCGAAGACGAGCTCAAGGACATAACGTTTAGTGAACACAAAGTCAATGGCAAGAGCAAGGGGTAAGTTTTTTCGCTGGGGATTATATTGACGCCGCAGTGGCTGATGGTGCTACAGCCAAGTCTATATCGAGTTTGCTTCCCAACAAGCTGCGACCGCCACGAAGCACCTCGTCGACAAACTCGAGGGCAATACACCCGGCCAAAAGCGCTACAATGTCGCCTACTCGAACCCGAACGTGAACCCCTTCCGCACGCTACCCAAAGACACATCCAACAGGCAACCAAAGGAAGGCCAAGGGTCTCGGGCCACAGGCACCTTTAACAACGACAACAGTGCCAACATGGGTGGCAACTTCCGCGGCAATTACAGGGGACGTGGCGGCGGTGGTGGTTTTGTGCCCCGTGGCGGCATGAACCAGAACAACTACAACCGCAACTTTGTCGGCGGTATGGGTGGATATAACCAGAACAACAACATGGGCGGCTTCAACAATGGCGGCATGGGCGGCGTCGGCTTCAACAACAACATGGGCGGCTTCAACCGGGGCGGCTTCGGCGGCGGCATGCGTGGAGGGCCCGGCGGTATGCGAGGCGGCCGTGGTGGCATGAATCAGATGGGAGGTATGCCCATGGGCCCAATGGGCGGAATGCCAATGGGCGGAATGGGCAACCCCATGGGCATGATGGGTGGAGGCATGCAGGGTAAGACTCCTGATCTGTGCACTATCTCTTTGTCCCTACTTCATCGTACATCCCACTCTGGCAAGCCAACGTCTGTGTCGTTTGACTTGACCTATTGCCAGTGGCAGCCGGGTCAAGACAAGACTGATGATGAAACTGCTTCGGGTCTGCTCCAGATGTTCGTTTGTTGCTTGTATACTTGCCATGCACTGTTCTCACCCCACAATCTGGGTCGCTTCTTACTGATCTCTCTGCACTATAGGTTTCCAAGGAATGCCGCAGCAATTCAACCCCGGCTTTTTCGGTGGCGGAGGGGGCGGTCAGGGAGGTGGCGACTGGGGAAATCCCCATGGTGCCAAGAGACCTCGTCCAGAATAAAGGGGTTTTTCTATCGAGGTGACCGGTCAAACCTCGACTGGCGATTAGGGGTTGCAATTCTCGATAGAGACTAGCCTGCGATCTGTACTATCATCAGCGCCATGCTCTCGAGGAGCTTGGCGGTCTGCAATCTTGGGGACTTGGGTCGGCGTTGCTTTCATCTTGGGTTCTGCTTTAATGGTTTAAATCACTTACTGCACTGCGACACAATGGTGAACCTGGACTTTCATACTCGACATAGAAGACAAGAGCGGCAGTCGGTGCTTCTTGAGGACGACAATATTGATTTCGGATTTACACAAGCAGTCTTGCGTGAGGAATTCATATGACTGTGTGTGGGCGATTATGGCAAGAAAAGATTGGGAAGCAGTACTGTGAGCACTACCAGGGGAGAAAGAAAGGGGTCCAGAGGCTGATCACCAATGAGACTAGGCAGAATGAAGAGGATCGAGCGAATGTCGTCAGGCATCGTCTGGACGCAGAGCAGACGGACCGGTAGCGTAGACCCTAGGATCGAACGGCCGACGTAGGTCAGAAC